GGTGTCCCGATCATGTGATGGTGGCGCGGTCATGTTTTGATTGTGTCATGTTGTGATGGTGTCCGGTCCTGTTTTGATGGTGTCCCGGTCATGTTTTGATGGTGTCCCGGTCATGTTGTGATGGTGTCCCGGTCATGTTTTGATGGTGTCCCGGTCGTGTTGCGACGGTGTCCCGGTCATGTTTTGATGGTGTCCCGGTCCTGTTGTGATGGTGTCTTGGCGGTATGCCGGTTATGTTTTGATGGTGTCCTGGTCATCTTGCGATGGTTTTCCCGTCATGTCATGTTGGTGTCCCGGTCACCTTGCGATGGTGCCCCGGTCATGTTGTGATGGTGTTCCGGTCGTGTTGTGATGGTGTCCCGGTCATGTTTTGATGGTGTCCCGATCATGTGATGGTGGCGCGGTCATGTTGTGATGGTGTCCCGAGTCATGTTTTGATGGTGTCCCGGTCGTGTTGTGACGGTGTCCCGGTCATGTTTTGATGGTGTCGCGGTCCTGTTGTGATGGTGTCCTGGTCATGTTTTGGCGGTGTGCCGGTTATGTTTTGATGGTGTCTGGCTCATGTGACGGTGTCCCGGTCATGTTGTGATGGTGTCCTGGTCATCTTGTGATGGTTTTCCCGTCATGTCATGTTGGTGTCCCGGTCACCTTGTGATGGTGTCCCGGTCATGTTGTGATTGTGCGCCAGTCATGTTGTGACGGTGTCCCGGTCATGTTTTGATGGTGTCCCGATCATGTGATGGCGGCGCGGTCTTGTTGTGATGGTGTCCCGATCATGTTTTGATTGTGTCCCAGTCATGTTGTGATGCTGTTTTGATGGTGTCCCGGTCATGTTTTGATGGTGTCCCGGTCATGTTGTGATGGTGTCCCGGTCATGTTTTGATGGTGTCCCGGTCGTGTTGTGACAGTGTCCCGGTCATGTTTTGATGGTGTCCCGGTCCTGTTGTGATGGTGTCCTGGTCATGTTTTGGCGGTGCGCCGGTTATGTTTTGATGGCGTCCGGGTCATGTGACGGTGTCATGTTGTGATAGTGTCCCGGTCATGTTTTGATTGTGTCCCAGTGTCCCCGTCATGTCATGCTGGTGCCCCGGTCGCGTCCAAGGAAGAGATGGTCGATGCGTTGAAAACAGCAGCTGTTTCCAGATTTTTCTTTTTGTCCCGGTTTGTATCTTGCTTTTGGGGTCTCCAGCTGGGCTAATTTTCCTAAGAATATTTTTGAACTTTTTAGAGTGCACATGAAATTCTAATCACGAAAGGTAGCCCCCGGGGTGCTCAGAGCGGTCCTCAGAGCTCTCATACATCACCCTGTCGAAAATTGGGTCTTGTTCGCGCCGCTCGCGTTCTGTTCTCTTTCCGCTGTCCTACCTTTCGTGTCTCCCTCCTCTCAAGTGAAGGGAGACAAGCTTGGGAGACAAGGCGTCCAAAAGAACAATCATGAAGAGAGACAAGCTTGGAAGACGGCAGAGGCAGCCAAGAGCGAAATCATGAAGGAAGACACGCTTCACAGACAAGGCGGTAGCGGCAGCCAAGAGCGAAATCATGAAGGGAGACAAGCTTCACAGACAAGGCAGCAGCGGCAGCCAAAAGCGAAATCATGAAGGGAGACAAGCTTGGGAGACAAGGCATAAGCGGCAGCCAAAGGCGAAATCATGAAGGGAGACAAGCTGATCAGACAAGGCGGCAGCGGCAGCCAAAAGCGAAATCATGAAAGGAGACAAGCTTGGGAGACAAGGCGGCAGCGACAGCCAAGAGCTAAATCATGAAGGGAGACAAGCTTGGAAGACAAGCCAGCAGAGGCAGCCAAAAGCGAAATCACGAAGGGAGACAAGCTTCACAGACAAGGCGGCAGCGGCAGCCAAAAGCGAAATCATGAAGGGAGACAAGCTTGGGAGACAAGGCAGCAGCGGCAGCCAAGAGCGAAATCATGAAGGGAGACAAGCTTAGAGACAAGCTTGGGAGACAAGGCGGCAGCGGCGCCAAGAGCGAAATCATGAAGGGAGACAAGCTGAAGAGACAAGGCGGCAGCGGCAGCCAAAAGCGAAATCATGAAGGGAGACAAGCTTGGGAGACAAGGCGGCAGCGGCAGCGGCAGCCAATTTCCGCAATCAGGAACCCATCCATTGAGAAGTAAGAACCCCTATAGCTTCGCTATCTGGGTGTGATTCACACTTATGAAATTGCGTGCTGATTTGATGCGGCTTGCCACACGCCAACCTGGGTACCCAAATCCTGACCAGATCAAGTGACAACCAAGGAAGCCTGGAGGTCCTCAAACGGAAGTGGGGCCAAAAGCTCAAGCCGATCCCAAGGCGACAAATGACGACGTAGCGTCCAGGCCCCAGATAACGCCTGGGGAAATCTCACCCCCTCCCTCTTCAGCTGTCCGGAGCCTAGTTCAAAAGAACCTTAGTTCGCCTCCCCTCGGGGAGGCATGTATGTGTAACCCTTGGAGTCACAGGGGTGCTGATGGATTTGTTTTGTTTTCCTCTTTCAGCAGCGGTGAGGATGGTTGGTGCAGTTGCCAGCTGCACAGTGAAAGGCCCAGGCGCCGAAAGGAAGCTAATCGTGGGGATCCACAAGGTAGTTTGCTGTAGGGCTTGTTCACCACGCGGGCGACGAAGCTACAGTAAGCTACACTGCCCAAAGTTCTGCCTTCCCCATGCGCATGCTGGAGGGTTCCCATTAAGCTTTGCGGGTCTGGGGGTGGAGCCGTGTTCGCGTGACGTAGCTGATGTTCGCAACCGTTTGCATTGTCGCGTTTGTTTGCGTGAAAAAGTCTAGAAACTTTATTTTCCAAGCGCAGGCGCAGCATTCGTGAGGTCATCAGTTGCTGCGCCGCGCCATGAGGATTTGCGGTCATGCCACTGTGCCACAGGGGCTTGCTTGGGGGGGTTCGCACCAAAGAGCGCTCTACGAAACTGTCAACCAAAACGCCCATCAAGAGTGTCACATAAGCTGGCATATTCACATTGATTTGCATTCGGGTTCATGGTTTGCTTTGTTGCGTAGGTCTTTCCTTTGCTTGCTGTGACATGCCATTGAGTTGTTTGTTCCATAAGACCCAATTATTGCCAAAAAAACAGGTTCATCTTGGACAGGGCTTTTCTGCCCTTTTCGTGATGCTGATTTTACAGAACGTCTCTGGCATCGTGGTGGGGTACTTCCATCAAGACTGTTTCCTGCTTGTTTCCACGGCTTTCGGCACACTTGCTGCAGCTTTTGGTCTTGCAAGGATCTTCCCCAAGCTTGTGCGGGGAGTTGGGACTTGTCCCTGTTGTTCCTGCTACTCATGCTCGATGATCATCTACATCGTGACAGCAATGATTGTGGTGGTGGCTGGTCTTCTTCCAGGTGATCCCAATAAAATTCTTGAAAAGAGCATGTTTTCTCCAGCGCCGAACGGATCCTACTTTGATGTCAATCACCAAGCACCAGGTGCGCTTGCAGGCTTTGGAGCATACCCAATTTGCAACAACATCCAGTGGGACAGCCCAAAACCTACAAAAGGCTCCCAGCTCACAGCTCTTGATCTCCTGGCTTTTGCACAAGCAGTGTATATCGGGCCTCGAAAAGATATTCAAGAAGAACTGGACAACGCCACGTTGAACACTGAGCTCTATCCAGTGACTATAGATTCCATCCAGGATACAGGAGAAGTTGGTCGCGTTGGCGTTTTCAGCATGTCCAACGTGAAAACGCGTGTGATTGCCATCCGTGGCTCAAGCCAAGCTCCAGATTGGACCTTCAATTTGGACGTTTGGGGTCCTGGAGTCTTCCACAGCTTTGTGAAGCTTGGTGGTTTTGTTTTATTGCACAGCAACATATTTGTCCATAAGGTCCCACTCATGCCTGTTTTTTGCGGAAGAATACAGGATGTCTCAAAGCATTGCAATGAAGCAGTTAAGTCCCTTTACTTTGCTGGGTTTGAATTGTTGCTTCAATTGTTTTCTTAAATAAAAGAAAACAAATCGTTCCCAGGATCAACGCGTTTCCCTTCGGCACCTTGGTCCCCGTTACCTTTGCTACGAGAAGGCTCAGCTTCGATGTTCGCGGGCTCTTGGGACTAGATCATCCATGGGTTCGAATTCTAAAGCAGATCCAAGCGGCCAAGAAACTCAGCGAGAAGGACGCGGAGTGCAAACCAAGTGAATTTGTAAAACATATAAGTATTGTTTGCAACCAGCTTGTAGAAATCATTGGCAAGTAGTAGCAAGGACGCAGAAGATGCGAAAGGTGTCTTATGTTTGGAAAGGGCCTGAACAAGAATAACAAAGCCAATCCAAATATCAACTTCACTGTTTGTTTGGATTTAAAACCATCCTCAGCCCCACCTGCTACCAACCAAAGTAAGCTGACCCGGCAGCTAGGTCGATCAAAAGCTCGTTTGTTCTTTTCGGTGTTTTCTTTCTTTTGTTTTTTCTTTAAGGTTCAGCTCGGGTTTCTTTTAGAGACCCTAGCTTAGCCCTAGTGCTTGTCGGTTCATGCGCCGGGGGCGCGCCGTCTTTCTTGTTGCGATCCCTTTGGCCTTCATTTCTGGAGCTGCTTCTTTGAAGGTGCGAGGTTGGCACAGGAATCTTCGCTGCAGGAGCAAGGGCCCGGAAGAGCCTCAAGTGGGGCACCTGGCTCCCCTCCAAGACAGATCTTGCAGCAGCACAGCTACTCCTCAGACATTCACGCCAGCATGCCGGTGAAGATGCTTGGAGCGTGGAAGTGCAGCTGTGGGAAGAGGCAACCCAACAAGCACAATTGGATCGGAGGATGTGGACGCCGCTACTCCAATTACCAATTGGTAGCGGCCGAGTTGAAATCAGAGACCGAAGCCCGCAAAGAAAGTCAAAGGAATTGCAAACTGGTTCCAGCCAGCAAGTGTTGCAACCTTCCTTCTTTGGCTGCCACGGCATCAGGACACGCAGCCATGAAGGACGAAGCAGCCAACAAGCCGGCAGAGATGGGGAGAGATCGTGTGGAGGAACTACTCCTAGGTTTGCGGGACAGTGCGTGGAACTCCAGAAGCCCAACGTCACCAACATGTGACGCGTGTCGACAAGCTTGAAAAGCAAGTGGCCACCGCCGGGAAAGACTTGCAGGGATTGGACAACAAATGGCAGGAGTTTGTGTGCCCCATACGCGCCAAATTCAACCAAGCAAAGGGAGGCTTACATCTCCCAGGGAGAGGAAAAGAACCAGTACATTGAGGCCAAGCAGAAGATGTTGGCGCAAGCCCAGGGTAGATCCGGAAGGCTGCAGACAGGCCAATGTCAGTAAGGAGCACAAGCCTATGGAGGAGATGGCCCAGAAAGATGGACTGTGTCGGACGATGCCCGGAAACGGGAGTTTGTGGATGCGCTTCGCTCTGTTCAAAAACCATCGACGACGAAGGTGCTCTCTAAACTGACATGGGATTAACCGTGTGGCCTACATTGTTGATCTTGGGCAAAGAGGTCTGGAGACGCTTGGAGAGTTTCAAGAATGGTGCGAAACGATCCTTGTTGGAAGATCGCGCTGAAACAGCCTGTTGGGTTCCAGGGGCGGGATGAAAAGGCATGACTATGTTGGGAGTCAATTTGGTTTACTCCTTGGGCTATGGCTTTGCCTCTGCACCGGGGCAGAGGCTGCGCGGCAACATATCTGAGAAGGGGACCCTGTCCCGCCCTCGGGGTTTTTGAAGCGCGGGGGGGCGAGTTGGGGGGCCGATGTCCAGCGCGCCGGAAATGGATGCGCAGGCTGGAGGAATGTTGATTGGCTTGCCTTGTTGGAGCTGCTTCCTTCCAGACCACGGAGACAACCGTGATGAAGTATGAGATGGCGGTTGAGCGCTTGTCCCTTGCCCAACGGCGGGAGGGCCAGTGGGCCCTGTGCTGTCTGGCTTGGGGCGTGCCAATACTTTTGCGCAGGCCTTCTTCCATCGTCATTTGGGCGCCAAACACTTTAGACAAGTTCAAAAGACTGGCAGGAGACATGGATGTCTTCTCTGTCAGCTGAGGCGGTTGTTCCGTGGTGAGCTTTGGGGTTGAGAGCTGAGACCTGATGTTCACCAGGTATAGTCCAAGCATAGGGTTCTCAAGTCGCCTCCTAGCAGGCCATACTTAGTTGAATTCTTGTCTATGATTTTTTTGGTTCCGGCCTAAAGAATGATTGAGATTCTTTCTCCAGCAAACCGGTGTGCCACAACTTGTATACGCCATGTGAAGTACGAAGGGAATGGCATCAGACCTTCGATTTCGAAGCGGGGAGAACTTGAACAAGTTTCAGAGAATGAATCCTTGGGCTCTACGTCTTGTGCTTCACTCACAGGTGAGAGTAGCTGCGAGGATACAAGTCTCATGGAGAATGGGCAGAGTTCGCAGCTAATTGCCATCGGGATCTGTACCACATGGACCTCAAGACTGCCTTCCTACAAGGCAAAGCATATGATGAAACTAGAGATATCATATGCCAGACCCCAGCAAAGTGCAGATAGCCACCACACATTGGAACTAAGATGAACAAATCCGTCTATGGCCGTAACAAGCCCGACGCACGGTGAAGGCTTTACACTTCCTGCGCAAGTGAGACACTTGGATTCACAGTAGTAGGATCTCTGGCTATGAGTTGAGGAAATGAGAGGTCTCCTGGGCAAGGGGGATGGTGGTGTGAGTGAGGCCGAGATCAAGTGTGTAGCACAGTCCTTGCTGTTGTGGTGCTCATTTCTCCCACGGCAGACTCAATATGCTGATGAACTTCATGCTTTGATGGTCTTGCGGGGGCTTGAAGACCGTGAGGCAGTGGTCGTGGGGGAGACGCAGAACGAAGATTTGCGATGATCAGAGGTCTGAACTTGTGAGGGTTCAAGAGTCGAATAATTTCGATTCCAGGAACATGAGGACGATCGATCCCGCCGATGTTGGGGATGGAGCTAAGGGCGGCCCCTTGAAGAAAGCTTCCTGGAAGGCATGGAAGGGAACCGTTTAGACAGACTGGGGGTTGACCCGGAGATGCAGCTACTTAGGGATGAAGGTACAGCATCACCTGAATACTTGGCAAGTCCTTATTGCTGACGGACCAACCGGCCTTGACTGCGCAAAGGTCTTTCCAGGTGTCGGTAACTCTTTCAGGAGAGTGGTTTTGCAGCATTGGGCTCGATTGCCGTCTCCGATTGAATGCTTCCCTCAATGATGTCCACATTTGCGCTGCCCCAGTTCATGGTGGTCAGTGAAATGGCCTTGGCAAGAACTGAAGAGATGGCAGTGAGTTGGTTGGGTGCTTCAACTGCGCGGGGCACCCTTCATTGCTGGTTTGCAAGCTAGGGAATTCACCCTAACCGTGAATGGGGTAGCTTTGATGCTGCGCACCCTTTGATCCACAACATTGCGACTCCATCCATGCGTTGATCCGTTAAGACTTCCTTCAGGGGTGATTGGCCAGAGTGTTTTTCGGTAGACAGCCAGACAATCATGGCAGAGGGGAAGGCGCTGTTATTTTTGTTATTTCTACCCCAGCACTCACCCTTTAGCCCGCGCATGTTTTCCTATGTTTGGGCTGAGGTTTACACCCAAAAAAACGGGTGAAGAGGTGGGGAAGACTACAAGGGCGGCAGGATCCCGTTATTAAAAATCCTTGTGCGCAGTCGATCCGGGCGCCTACACAGTGTAGCGTGAACCTCATTGTGGATCGATGGATCAATGGGCGACTTGTCCAAGAAGGATGGCTACATCTTCATGAAGGTGATCTTGCGCGCGCGTGGACGCGCAGGAAAGAAGAGGGAGAGTTGGAGACAAGTCGTAAGCGGAAGCGTGATGTGGACCAATGCCAGATTGATGAACGACAAAGGAGTCTAGGGGCCAGCGGTCGAGTTTTCATGCGAAGAGAACGCTCGGTCTAGCACACCCTCGATGACAGAAGCTTCCACGAGCGAAGTCAAGAGGTTGCATCTTGAATGAGGTGGCTCCACTTCTGGAAGAGCGGCGCCACAGCCTCTTCAATCTGCCGGCTTGAGACGTTTGTTTGTTTTTGGAGACGCTGGGGCTGTCACACCTGGCTATGTCTTGGTCTATGTGGAGGTGGTTAGGAACGCTGGTACTCAACGTGAGAAGAGGGAATCATGTGTCAAGAGGATGCCAGCCCTCCTCACTCGAGATGACTTCCTGGCCCTGAACCTGCTTGCTAGACAGCGCGAAGGAGGCCAATGCACTTTATAGCGGGGTGACGCGACGGGTCGCCCAGTCGGGATCATGTGCCTTGATTAGTACTATCATGTCTATGGTGGGCGATAGGGAGTGTGATTTAGAGATATGATTCTGATGCACAAGGCTGGAAGTGCAGCGGCTATCTTTCTCACAGAACGAAGTGTGTTTCTCAGCGCTGGAAGAAAAGTGGGATGGAGCTGGCATCAAGTCTTGGAAGCGAAGAAGGATTCTTGAAACGGTATGGCCCGCGAAATCATGGACGGGAACAAGACAAGACAGCTTGAAGAAGGAGTCTGGAGTAGCGAAAAGGGGAGTTCTGAAAGTTTCGACCGTAAGTTGGGATTCTATCCAGGAGGTCGTTGTGGAAGAGAGGACCGAAAGTGGAAGCAAGCAAGAAGTGACGAATAAGAACGGTGTAGCGAGTCCATGATGTCGGTGCGCTGGCTATGTCTTCTTTGTATCCTTTTTTTGGCCCAACTGTCTCTGCTTGCCAGGCTTATGCCGTGCGGCCGAGACCCAATTCGGACAGACCGCATCAAAGTGCCACGCACCCACCTCCCTGAACCAGCTGAAACGGCTTGTGGATTGGAAGGGTTTTTTAAATAAGTTTTTTGTCAATGGACTGCCGTTACGCCATAAGTTTGAAGCTTGGACATGGCTGCTAATTGGGAAAAGTTTTCTTCTTTAGACCTCTATTTGGACCTTTTCTTTTCCTTTCAGCAGTATTGGTTTCCTGCGTTGATGTGTCTTTTCGGTGTCAGGATGGCTACAACTTGATCCTAACTGGGCACTCGTTGGGCGGTGGCCTTGCACAAGTCCTCGGCAGTTTGGAGAGAATCCCTACACTGGTTTGGATGCCTGTTGGTGGTGCCTTTACCGCCTACCGCACTTTTGGCTTTGCCCCATGGCGACAGATGTTTTGCGTATTCAGCATGAAACAGATGCGTTTGTCTTGGTTCGTGACTCAGACTGTTTTCAACCGTTCTCTCTTAGGTGATCAACGAGCTACCATTGGAGAACAACATTGTCGCAGTCGTTCCTTGGGGCGATCTTGTTCCTGCACCTTTCAGTTGAATTAGAGTTTCAATTAAAGAGTACCCCGACAAACCCTGAACGGTGTGATGATGCGAAGATTCTTGTTCCTGCGCAACTCCTCTTCAAGCATATGTAGGTTTGTTCAAGCTACCTTGGTTGTGTAATCATGTCCTGTTTCTCGGAGTGTTCGGAAATAGATACGCACCGCAGAGTAATTGCATCAATGCAGCACAGTGCGGCGAATGTCCTTGCGTTTTTTTACGGCGCATCTTCGAGAACTATTTGACGCAGCGCGCACAAAACTCAGATGTCTTCAAATACGAAAAGCTATGGTTCCTCAAGCGCATGCCACAAGCTGCAGTACCACACAACGCGCCTTTGAACAAATGTTCGTGTGAGATCCATGTCAAACTGAATGGTGTTGCAACCGTCGCAGCTTTGCGTGAAGCGGCGGAATTGAGAACCAAACAGTCTGGAACCTAGTGAGCCTTCCACAAGAACTGTTTCATCATCTACATTTACTGTACCAGTTCTGCAAGACACCACACGTTTTCCGATGGACGCGAGCTGCTTTCCAATGTCTTGCTTTCTCGTTCAAATTGATTGGCAAGATGGCAGGCACTGTCGGGATCACGCATGGTAACAACCCAACACGTGGGTTGCAGAGCAAGATCACCTATTGCTTGCCATTCTTTGTTCGAGATGCTTTGCGAACTCTACCGTAAATGTGGTGATCCACGTGGCCGGGATTTGCACGCAACTTGCGACAAGGTTGTCGGCCCCAATTGGCAAGATATCCCTGTGAAGGGCTTCGTTTGGCACACCTTTTTTTAGGTCTCACTACCTTTATTCCCTTGTTTTTGTGGCTAGGCCAAAAGGTGCCCAGTCTTGAGGCAAAATCGCCTCAAGGGTTCCGTTGTAGAAGCAGAAATCGGACCGTTTGTACTTTGCATGCATTATAATCAGCAGGGAAAACTCTTGAGACGGCAAATATTAATTAGCCCAGCTGGAGACCTGAATAGCCAGATACAAACCGGGACAAAAAGAAAAATCTGGAGACAGCTGCTGTTTTCAACACATCGACCACGACAGGGACACCATCAAAGCGGGACCGGGACACCATAAGCAAAACCGACACACCGCCAGGACACCATCATAACATGACCGGGACACCATCACAACACGACCGGAACACCATCACAACAGGACCGGGACACCGCCGTAACATGACCGGGACACCATCACAACAGGACCAGGACACCGCCGCAACATCACCGGACACCGTCACAACTTGACCGGGACACCATCAAAACATGACCGGGACACCATCAAAACATGACCGGAACACCATCAAAACATGACCGGGACACCATCGCAACAGGACCGGGACACTGCCGCAACAATGACCGGGACACCGTCGCAACTTGACCGGGATACCGTCAAAACATGACCGGGACACCATCAAAACTTGACCGGGACACCATCACAACATGACCGGGACACCATCAAAACATGACCGGAAGGAACACCATCACAACATAAGCGGGACACGGTCACAACACGATTAGGCTACTAGCAGCCCGACATTAAGATTGACAATTTAATATGTATGATGAATTTCATTTTTAATAATTAGCCCAGCTGGAGACCCCAATAGCAAGATACAAACCAGGACAAAAAGAAAAATCTGGAAACAGCTGCTGTTTTCAACACATCGACCATCTCTTCTTTGGACACCATCATCACATAACCGGGACACCATCACAAAATGGCCAGGGCACCATCAAAACATGACCGAGACACCATCACAACATGACTGGGACACAATCAAAACATGATCGGGACACCATCACAACATGACCGCGCCACCATCACATGATCGGGACACCATCAAAACATGACCGGGACACCATCACAACATGACCGGGACACCATCAAAACATGACCGGGACACCATCAAAACAGGACCGGGACACCATCACATGACCGGGACACCATCAAAACATGATCGGGACACCATCAAAACATGACCGGGACACCATCAAAACATGACCGGGACACCATCACAACATGACTGGGTCAGCATCAAAACATGACCGGGACACCATCAAAACATGACCGGGACACCGTCACAACATGACCGGGACACCATCAAATGACCGGGACACCATCAAAACATGACAGGGACACCATCACAACATGACCGGGACGCCATCAAAACATGACCGGGACACCATCAAAACAGGACCGGGACACCATCACAACATGACTGGGACACAATCAAAACCTGATCGGGACACCATCACAACATGACCGGGACACCATCACATGATCGGGACACCATCAAAACATGACCGGGACGCAGTCACAACACGACCGGGACACCATCAAAACATGACCGGGACACCATCACAACATGACCACCATCACAAGATCGGGACACCATCAAAACATGACCGGGACACCGTCACAACACGACCGGGACACCATCAAAACATGACCGGGACACCATCACAACATGACCGCGCCATCATCACATGATCGGGACACCATCAAAACATGACCGGGACACCGTCGCAACACGACCGGGACACCATCAAAACATGACCGGGGCACCATCACAACATGACCGGGACACCATCACATGACCGGGACACCATCAAAACACGACCGGGACACCATCACAACATGACTGGGTCACCATCCATGATCGGTAAGCAGAAAGTCTTGAGATCTAGACGCATTGGGGTCTAGAGAGGTGATGGTGGTGATGAAGTGAAGGTGGGTGTGATTGAGTGTGGGCGAGAGGGAGCGTGAGTGAGAGTGGGAGAGTGAGTGTGCGTGCGTGAGAGTGAGTGCGGGTGAGAGGGGGAGAGTGAGTGTGGGTGAGTAAGTGCGCGTGAAAGTGGGCGGTCGATTGGGTAAGTGAGAGTGACTGAAGGTGGGTGGGTGAGAGTGAGCGAAAATGAGAATGAGATGTTTGATAAAAACCCATTGCATTTGTTGGCGGTACACATTTGAAAGATTATGTTGTTAAAGTTGTTTGGGCTTCTTTGCCGGTTTGAATGAAATTAGGTACATTAGGGTATTTGAAGAAGTAAAAAGATGTGTGTATACAAAAATAGGGCTGTTAGCAGATTGACTTGCAAGCAGCAAGAAAAATGACATCTATGATTTATATGTTGAAAGGAAATTTGGGTATAAAACATTTTTTTGAAATTGATTTTAAATTCGATTTAGTATATTTATTATACAACAATGAATTATTTAATTGTACAAATTGTTGTATGTTAAAGTGTTTTTTTGTTCGTGTTGAATATGCTTTTTGGAAGAAAGCCTGGTACATAAATCGTTTTGCGGAGAAAAGCGTGCACAACATCATTGTGGTCAATTGGAACAGATCTCTTTTGGCAACAAGGAAGAGAAAGCTAATGAAAGGAGAAGTTAGTGAAGGCATGAAAGGATAAAAAAACCCAAGCTGAAAAAAAGGAATGATTGCCTTCTCTAAGAAAAACATTCAATTTTCTGAGAACAGGCCAAGCTTGTGGGATGGATAGCGCCCGAGCAACCACGTTCTAGGTCTCCAGCCAATTTCAATGCGCTGCAAACCGCGCTTGCAAATTATTCGGGCGCGCATTTTATCATGACTCCATGAGCATCGGTCAAACTACCTGCACAAAGTCCGCAGCTGCACGTGAAAATCGAGATGACTACTTGTACTTCTTCTCCTGAAAGGGTGTTGAGAATTAGTTGCGAGCACTAGCGAGCGTTCATTGCTAGCAAGCGAGCTTGTCTGTGACCAGGCGTCACCAACCATAGCGGCAAGGTGTGCATCCGCTTCTTGGGGCTTGAGCCACAGCGGGGGTACTCTTCAATGGGGCCAACCCGCTACCAGGGGGAAGCTAACTTCTAACCCGTGCCAACTCAAAAACCGGCAATGCGTAGGGACAGCTACTTGGGTAGCCGCCCTTGCCCACTCTGGCTTCTCTCCCTGTAGATGGCCTGTATTTGGGTCAACCAGGAGGGGCGATCCAATCATTCTCTCGCGGAGGGATGTAGTGGAGCCACCTTGGGATTTCTAGCTTGAAACATTCCTCGAAGGCATTGAAGGCAGCATATGGGTATCCCCATGCTTCTAGCTTGTTTCTAGAATAGAAAATGTGGGAAAGCGCGACGCAGTTTCCAAAGGCCCCTATATATCGAATACTCTCTGGGAGCGTGAGGTCCACCAGGGACTTGCAGCCACGAATACCTCTGCTCGAATCTCACGTAAGCAGGGCGGCAGTTTGACTGTGTCCAAGCTGTGGCATTGTGAGATGCTGTGCATGGGGAGGGTGTCTATTGCAGCGCTAGAGATATCCTCAAGGGTGAGCGGCTTGCAATTCTCGTGCACACCTGGCACCACTTGCCGAATGCCACTCCAGTAGAAGCTCCCCTGTGGGACGCCTGCCTGGGGGGTGGTCGCGCAGCGCCGTCCATCATGGCTCTCATGGCCCTCACGTGGGGCAGTGATAGCTGGGTTAGGGGAACGCCTAGTAGGGGAACGAGAATAGGGGAACGCCTAGTTCGACGCACCCTGGCATTTCAACCGTTTTCAGGCAGTAGCAACCCTGGAAGGCAGCATATCCGATGGCGACGACTGTGTCAGGCAACTTGACAATTCGAAGTGAGTGGCAATACCTCTCCAGGCTTGTCGACTGACCGTGTGAAACCCTGGGTCAACCTTGACATGTCGGAGTCGCGCAGTCGAGAAGAAAGCTTTGGTCTTTAGAATCCCAGTATCGTTGGCAGGGCCCTGATGGCTTTCGGGCAGTCCTCATACTTAAATCCCTGAATCTGTTCTTGCATTCAACCTGCTGAAAACACTCATGGACAAAAAGGCAGAATTGTGTGTTCCACCATAGGTCCTCCTGCGTGGGATCGTGCAATGCTTGGTGCGTGTCGGCATCGAGCAAGGTGAGTTCACAGCCAACGGTGTCTGTTTGACCTACCGAGGGCAGGTGCTCGTCGAGGTATTCTTCTAAATGCTGACTGGCACATGAATTTGAATTGTGGTGCCGGCAATCGTGTTAAGCTGCAGGCAGAGAGGACTGCGGTGGTCATTTCTTTGTGCATGGGACATGTTAGCCTCAGCGCTCGTGCAGGCAATACCTGGCAAGACAACAAGGATGATGCAGTCCCTGTCAGGACCCTCTTGCTTTACCTCGACTACCGACCACTTGAGCCCGTGGCTTGAGCCAAAACGGCCACGGACACAACTCTTCTGTCTGGGAGCCCGACCCTGGCTGAGACGCAACATTCACCTCAGAGTGTCCATTCCTTGAGAAGCAGCGTGCGCGCCCCAGGAAATCTCACCGAAAAAAGCGAGCTGGAATGAAAATAGAAAATTGCTGAAGCAGCTACGCAACAAGTTTGTCGAAGCAGTGACCTGTCAAAGGAGATGCATCCATCGATAAACGATCAGAGGTAACGTTTCCTTCACTCTAGAACACAGCTTTTCCAGAATGTAGTTCACCAACCACAATGCTTGTCATTGTTTAATTGACTGTCTCAAAGGAAAACGTGACACAGTAGCATGAGGCGACACACAGCAGCCACTGCATATGTTTTAGCGTACTCTTTTTGCTCAGCTCGCGACCAGTCTTTGTACAAAAACACAGAGTTTATGTCTAGTAACCGCCTTGTTGTGCTTCCGCAGAACGACGTCCACGTAGGAGGTGTTTGGAAGAAGTCACGGCTTGAAACACGCAGTTGGTTTCCATGTGAACATCTTGCTGTTTATTCACCGCCGTTCAGGGTCTTTGCCTAGTTGGGCAGCAGGGTCGTTGCCAGCCTGGTCTGGGTCTAGCGCGTCGACCCGAAGCAGATCTGGATGGGGTAGGCATCTGTGAAGCTGCGGCTGTTGTTCCTCAGCCAGTCTTGCCACCCATTGGACCGCCTGACCACTCGCCAAAACTGCCAGGTTTCTCCGTGGG